TATAATAATATACTACTTTAACAAACCGGCTTTTAAAATTAATTTTAAATTTATATAATCTAAGAATATTATAATTAATAAAAAGATAGGCTTTTAAGTTTTAGATTAAGTATATATCTATATATACTTAAATTAATATTAATTTATTATTAATTTTTATAGAAAAAAGAATAGATAATATTATATATCTTATATTATTAAATTCTTATTTAACTTTATAAATATAAACTAAATATATTATATTTAATATTAGAATATCTAGAAAATTAGTCGCGAGCTAGGCTTTATTAACTATTAATATAATATATTTAATATTAAAATATATAATATTTATATTTTTATTAATATAAATTTTAATTATTATATATTTTTAGTTCTTAAAGAATTCTTTTAATTTAAAAAATACAAAAAACTTGTCTGTATTAATTATTAGAGTATTTAGATCTATATAAAAAGTATATAATTTATAATTTATAATATATATATAAAGTATATTATTAAAAATAAATAATATATAATAATCTATATATTATAAATAAAAGATATCTTAATATTTGTAATAATCCAAAGTATTCTGGTCTTTATAATTATTATTTAAATAATAAGTATTATTATTATTATTATAATATTTATTATTATAATTATTATTATAATATTTCTAAATACTATAGAATTAGTTATATATTTTATTAATCTAATTATACTAGAAATATTTATTATAAAAACTACTGTTACTATTACTGTTAGTATTATTATAATATATTTTCTAGAATTTATTATAATTATAGTTATTTTAGTAATTACAATTATAACTATAGCAGTATTTATATTTTTAATTATTATAATAATTTTAATAGTTTTTTTTATAATTCTAATCTCTTCTATAATCTTAGCGGTTGTTTTAATTATTATAATAATTATTATATTTATTTTTATATTTATTATATCAGTTATCTTAATAATTATTTAATTTATAAAAATCTATTTAGTCTTTATAGTATTAGTTTCTATTTTAATTATTTAGACTATAATTAAATTAATTAAATTAACAGTTATATTAATTATATTTATAGAAAAAGTAAATATTATTATAAATATAATTTTAGGCTTTATTTTTTATATTTAAATTTTATTTATTTTTTTAGATTATATAATATAAGTTTATTTTATTATTAAATTTCTTAAATATAGTTTTATATCTAGATTTCTTAATATATTTTTAAAGCTTGGGATTAATATATTTTTATATTTAAATAATTATATTATATTTATTAAATATACCGCAAGTTCGTGCCAGTTCTAATATCTTAATAATATATATAGTTAAAAATCTATTATAATAAATATTTTAAATAGTATAGTAATAATTATTAAGTTATTTCTAAAATTAACTATTTAAAATCTTTTATCAGACTTTAATTATTATAATTTAGTAGTTAATATTCCTAAAGTTAATAAATCTAATTTATTATATTTTATTAATTTATTATATTTATTAAGTATTTATATTATTTTTAAAGAAAGTATTTATATTTTAGCTTATAATAATTATATTTTATAAGTATAAAGCGACTTTTAAATATATATAAAAAACTTAAGCAGTTTAATAGTATATTTTTTTATTATATTTAACTGGATTTCTGTATCTTTAATTAAAAAATATATTAAAGTAGAAATATCTAATATCTGAAGCTTACTATTATATATTATTTAATATTTAAAATTTATTTTAATATTAAGAAACTATCTTGTTGTCTGGAGAAGACAGTAGAAATAGTAAAAAAAAATAAAAGATTATTATTATAAAGTTTATTTTTTTTATATTATTTTTATTTTTTATATTTTATATATTTTTATTTGTAAATATTAAGTATAATTATTATTATTTAGATAAATAATTATATAAATTTTATTTTTTAGGCGTCTGTTATTGCTTCGCCTATAATTTAAATAGATTAGTTGATATATAGACTAACTATTTAAACTATATATATATAAATTATTAACTTAGATAGAATTATTTTTATATTTTTATATTTAATATAAGGCTGGTGCTGGTATAGTAGATATAATCTTAATAATTAAATAATAAATAAATAAGTTTATAAATAAATTAATTAAAATCTTTATTAAAAATAGTATAGAAAAGTTAATTTTATCTATTTTATGTAGTATATATACTAGCTGTATTAATGTTAGTAAGTTAATAAATAAATTTAATATAAATTTTAGTAGTAAAAAAGATAAATAGATTATTAAAAATAATTTAAAAGTTAACTCCAGTAAAGCTGGTATTAATAGAAATTTAAATATTATTTTAACTAATATTAATACTTTAACTAAAATAATAGTTAAAGTTTTTAGAACTGCTGTTAGTAGTATTAATAGAATAAAAATAAAAAAAATATTAGTATAAAAAATTATATCTGTTTCTGCTTTTTTAAATATTATTAGTAAAGCAGGAAATATTTATAAAAATATAAAAATTAATAAATATATAAAAAAAAATATAATAATAAGTTTAAACTAGTAAATTACTATTTTAAAAGATCTTCTATTTGTTTATTTAATAGAGTAATTATACTTATTTTTAATAGTCTAATCTCGGCTACTTTAAGTTTTCGAAATATTTATAAATTATAGTAATATTTAAAAAATAATTGTTTGTACTATAGTAAGAATTTTTATAAGAATATTTATAATATTTTTATATTCTATTTTAACAAAGCAAAATAGTTAATAAATAGTTTAAATAATATTATCTAAATATATTAATATATATACTATTTAGAAGTGCTTACAGTACTTGTATATAATTAATTATATAAAAATAAAATTAAGAATTATAGTTAATTATATAATTTATAATAGTTTAATTTATAATAATATTAAAAAAATATCTCCGGTAATGCGAAAAACGGTCGGAAGCAAATAATAAAATATATAAAAAATTAATAAATAGAATAATTAAAAAATTAATAAGTAAGAGTATAATAAAATATATAAGATTAATAAATAGAAGATTAGAAAAAAGCATATTAATAGCACTATAACTATTCTATTAATAAAATACTTGTTTAGGTAAATAAACCGATATAAGATACTGTTTTAGTAATTTAGTCGAGTAAATAATTCTTAAATAGACTAAAAATTATAGTAAAATATACTACTAATATTAGGCTTCGAGGCCTCGAGAAATAATAATAAATAAATAGTTATTTTCTTTATTTTAGCTATTTTAATATGTATATAAGGTCGCCTTTCCGAAGCGGTAAGAAAGAATAATATCCAAGCCGAGGAGGAAGACTCGAGGTATCGAAGAAGGCAACAATAAAATATTATTAACATTTTTATATTAATAATAATTATTTACTGACCGTCGGAAGTAATATCCGAAAAAAAATAGTTTAATAAAATTTAATAAAATTAGTATAGTAAAGAAGAATCTATAGTAAAATTATATATATATAATAAAAATAATAAAGGAATTCAAAACAGAATCAAATATAATATTTATTTTTTAAAATATAGAAGTTGTGTTTTTCGGCGTAATAAAAATAATAAAAAATATAAGAAATAAGTAAATAGGCTTTATTAGAAATAATAAAAATAAAATTATAGTTTTTAGTTTTTATAGAAAAAAACAAGTAATTTAGCAAGAAATCGATATAAATAAAATAAATAATATAATATAAAATAAAATAAATAAGCAAATAAAGAATAAAATATAATATAAAATAAAAATTAATATTAAAATTAAAAATAGTATAATATAATATAGATTATAAATAATAATATAAAGTATATTAACAAGCTTAATATTATATATATTAATAAACTTAATATATTAAAATTTGTTAGTCGGCTTTAAAAAGCAGACTCCTAGTCTATAAAAAATATACTACTATTATAACAGTTTTAAGAATTTTAACAAGTAAAATTAATTATTTATTATAACTAGTTATTATTACTGTATATATATTCCCCGAAGGGCGGTATAAAGAGCAGTAATAATCTACTATTTCTTGTCTTCTCTAATATCCTTCTTACTGCGATACTAATCCATATTTATTATATTCTGCCATAGTCTATTCTGTTTTTTTTTTTTACTTTCTATTATTTCTTACCCTAAAATATATTACTATTTTATATATTTTGTTCTATATAATAATTTGTCTTTATTATTTTATCTCTATTATATGCTGTTTTTTATATAAGTATCTATTTCTTTATATATATAATTAATAATAAAAATATATCGATTTTAAAGCCCGGTGGATATTACTGTTTCTTTGTTTATCTATAATAATATTTTACTGTTTATTTAATGCTGTTTTTTACCGCCCTAGCGGCGGAACTTTAAGACTGTTTATTTCTTCTGTTTTTTATTATCTCGAATAATCTTTATTTTATACGGAATAATTAATCATATTGAGCTCTTGAACCATAACGATTTATATATTTTAATAAAGAAAAAAATTATTACTAACAGTAGTAATATCTGTTTGATATCTTATTCATATCTGTTACTTTCTTTATTCTATACTTCTAGTTATATATATCTAGTCTAGCTTACTATAGCTATACTTAACCCAATCAAGATTATATTTAATATTGGCATATGCCTTTGCTTCCCCTGTGGCTACCATATTTTTATATATTTTCATTTATATATATATGATACTGAAAATAATATATTTTTATAATAAAAATAACTATAGCTGCTGCCTCCGCAGCTTAATATATCAAGATTTTTATATTTTTGTATACTACCTATATTAATAGTTTATATAATTTGCCGTAGGCAATATACTTAGTCTCTCAGCCTTTCAGGCTCTCTATTAAATAAACAACTTCTCCACATCTCGTCATTGACCAGTTATTCACAATAGCCTTATATGATTCAAAATTCTGCCCAGGGCGGTAGAGAATTTTGGGCTACGATGAACTTTTTCCGGACCACGCTGAGCTGCCCCCCGGGGGACACATAGTTCTACTCTCTCCGCACTACTCCGTAATTTCTGACCCTCTCTGAGCTGGTGGTACCCTGTCAATACTGTCCGCAGCGAATCATACTGGTTTATATGTAATACTACTGACTAAGAAGTCTAACAACGGCCTTTGGTGGCCAAATCTCAAAGCACTTTACAGCATTCCAAAACTGAAGTGTCTGCAATAGTGGAATTCTTTTTTTCCCCTCCACTTACAGCATATATCATCACCATCCATATCCCAATATCGCAATAGACTGGAGATTGCTACCTAGCCATGTCTTTCTCCAATCTTGTCTCAGATCTCGCCTTCCGAGATGTGCATGATGACCGAAGTTCCCAAATATCCCACGCCCGATCCCAGGCCACTGCTCGCTCCTATACCAGTACAGCCGCCACCAGCGTCAGCATATCTGGTGATATCTCCAGCCAGCTTCACTCGGGTTATAGCCATCCTTTAAGCAGATCATGGCAAGCCGAAAAGCAACTTACCAAGGTCGGTAGTCATGTAGAGCTTAGTCTTACAATCTAACTCGCTACAGGAAATGCTCATATATCCGCTCTTCATCACGGACAATCCTGATGAAGAGACGCCAATTCCGTCACTCCCCAATCAATGCCGTCGAGGATTGAACCGCCTGGTTCCATTCTTGAGGCCCCTTGTTCACAAAGGACTGCGATCTGTAATCCTTTTTGGAGTTCCATTGCACCCGTCCGCCAAAGATGCTCTTGGGACTGCCGCGGACGATCCGAACGGGCCAGTAGTCCAGGCCATCCGCCTCCTTCGATCGCGTTTTCCCCAGCTCTATATCGTAACTGATGTATGTCTTTGCGAATATACATCTCATGGTCACTGTGGGATTCTTCGCGAAGATGGCACGTTAGATAATGCACAGTCCGTCGATCGAATCTCTGATGTCGCTCTGGCCTACGCTGCAGCAGGCGCCCACTGCGTTGCTCCGTCGGACATGAACGATGGACGTGTACGCGCCATAAAACTCAAGCTGATTGAGGCTGGCATGGCTCATCGGGTCCTCCTCATGTCCTACAGCGCGAAGTTCAGTGGATGCTTATACGGCCCTTTCCGCGATGCAGCAGGCTCATGCCCCTCCTTTGGTGATCGCAGGTGTTATCAGCTGCCTCCCGGGGGCAGGGGACTTGCTCGGCGAGCGATACAAAGGGATATTAGTGAGGGCGCTGACATCATCATGGTAAAGCCCGCGAGCAGTTACTTGGACATAATTAGAGACGCGAAAGAGCTTGCGCAGGACATGCCCATCGCAGCATATCAAGTTAGTGGCGAATATGCCATGATACATGCAGGGGCAAAAGCTGGTGTTTTCGATCTGAAATCTATGGCGTTTGAGAGTACAGAAGGCATCCTGAGAGCTGGCGCAGGAATTGTTGTGAGCTACTTTGTCCCAGAGTTTTTGGATTGGCTATGACCATGCTTCGGGGCCATGTGTGAGCGCGGAAATCTGCGATACCTTCCATCTCATACAGCTTCCCTATGTGAGGTGCTTTCTGCCTTGTATGTTTATATTCGGAAGTCTAGCCTTGATTCAAGCCTATATTCACTGGTCCTCTCGATGAGGGAACCCGGCTGAATGCAAAGTCAGTCTGCACCAAGTATGATATAAACGGTGACCCACCACCTGTTGCACGGGTTTTCATGCTTGCTCTGTGTGCACCGAACCGAGCTCCCAAAGTCATATTAACCAGACAAGTCGAACATGTTGTTTGTTTAAGAGCAAGCACTAACACACTTAGCTTAAATATAGAGTTGGTTTCCAACGTGGGCAAAGCACGGAGACTCAGTATACTGTGTAGGTTTCGTTCCTCTTAACTAGCATGATAGACAGTTCAATGAAACTCAGAGCTTACATATTTCAGCAATCTAAATCGATAGTAAAGAACATGTCTCTCCGTCATGCAAGTTAATTTTCATACATCACATATACCCAGGCTTCAACCCCTGAAAGCCATAGGCTACTATATCGGACTTTACCACCTCACCTGGAGCAACGTATGCACCGCGGCGAAGACGGACACCAGGGTAGATCGTACAGCCAGCGCCAACATAGCAATCTTCTTCAATAGCAACGGAGCGCCCTTGATAGCGACTCTGCGAGCCTTTGCGTTCTTGCATATTTGCATGAGCCGTCGAACTGATTATCGTGACTCGAGGACCAATCCACGTGTGCGCTCCAATGGTGATTGGGCAGTCGTCCACAAAAAGGCAGTCCTCGGAAATCATAACGTCTTCACCTAGGTGCACATTGTAACCATAATGACAGTGAAAAGGTGCCTCAACAATTGCACCTTGGCCAATCGTCCCAGAAGAACGGGATGTGGAAGCGCCAGAAGGGGAATTGGATGCCGAGACAGGAGGGATAAAAACCTCTCTGAGCAGGCGCATTTGTTCCTTAGTGCTAAGCCCCGATACTGGGTTGCACGCATTGTTGAACCTCCATAAGGCGGCCTTACAACGGTCCCTTTCTTCTACAAGTTGAACATCGTAGGGCCGGTAAAGCTCGCCGCGCATCATTTTCTCTTTCTCCGTTTCCTCCCCGGATACGGTCCGTGTAGAAAGCTGATGTTCAATACTCAAAGCCATGCGTGCCTGAGCCTGCGGACTGCTGGTATCTAGATTGCTGCTGTGTGCCGGTCGTTGATCGATCCCACTTTGGAACAGGGAAGCACCTGATTTTGGATGGTTGCCGTGAGAGAGTTCCCTGATTGGCGGTACAATGGCATAATCTGACTTCGAGTGGCCCTCCCGAGATAGCTCATGAATTGATGGAACATCGCGGTAGTCTGACTTCGTTAGATGATCCGGTATATACGCCGGATGGTTGCTTCCTCCCCATGTCCGCTTAGTCCAACCACGACCAGAATTAACGCCTGTTGGACTGGTGCTGAATTGGGAAGTAGAACGGTCGGCATCTTCAACGACGATCGGTCTCATCTTGCTGGTTTCTATATGTTCCGTCAAGGCTGGGGGCCTTTCATGTGGTTGGTTGATATCATGCATATATTGACTACTTATTTCGTTGTAACCCTCTTTCGATTGTAGAGGTACAGGTGGCTTTGAGGGTGACGGCTTCTGCCATGTGCTCCGAGACGAGTAGCCTTCGCACAAGAATCCTCCCCTGATGCAATTGTTGCCTATGTGGTGTTAGAATTGAGACCATTGTCACCAAAATACATATCCTACGCTAGAGTGTAGTAGTGTATGGGACTTACAAGCAGGGTGCTGCTCGTCGCATTTCTTCTTTCTCCGCCGACAGGTCATGCAGCCGGTTTTGGTTCGATTACTAAAAACACGTTTTCGTTTTGGTGCGACCTGAACAGCAGGGTGTGCCCGCTCTTGTGAAATAATTGGCATCGAGGCGGACAGTTCGCTCTGCACAGAACTTTCCGTTGGACGATTGCTAGTGCTCCAACCTTTTGGCGACTCATGACCATTGGCCTCTCGCTGAAGCGCTTCTGCCAGTTGGGCGTCCGTAGCATCGAGATGCTGCGCACGCTGCGCTTGCTTAATTAACTGAGAATCGATCTCATTCCACGCTGTGCCTGTTGATGTTGTGCGAATGTCACCATTTTCGTCCAGCCGAGAATGAGTAGGCGTCTGTTTGACATCGGATTCTCCTTGAGATGTTACAACGCCGTTCGACGGAGACGGCTGAATGCTTGATGCTATGCTGTCGTCTGGGCGTGGGTCTGGGCTTCTAGGTGCCTTATGAGATATACTGTGGCCTTCATGCTCTTCTCTTGATCCCGATCTCTTGCGCTTACTTCTGCCGAGGGCTTCTGCGGAAGAAAATGAACGGCGTGATCGTTGGTCATCCTGGTCGCATTCGGCGCTATCCCGCTCTGCATACCCAGGATTCCTTGGAGACTCATCGTGTCGAGAAGGAGCATGAGCACCATTTTTCGGGGTTCGGTCAGAGGCGGAATTCTCTAGAGTCGGATTCTCACGCGCAGAGATCCTGCTTGTGCTTGTGATGGGAGTGGCTGTGCCACTGCCCAACGATTCTTTGCCATTAACTGCTGTGAATCGCGAAGGGCTGTTCCCTGCCTTCGATTCCTTCTCGGTCTCGTGGTCTTGCATCACCGACGCAGATGCCACGGTAGTCATGATCCAATTGTAGTTGCCTGAATCAGATCCAACCAGGCAGTGGAAGTATATCAAGTATGAGACGATTGGTGATATGATGATTCAGGAATCGTCGTCGCCATTCAAACACGATTGTAGCACGGAATGCCAGTCATTGACTTGTCGTAAAACCTACTAGTCATTTACTGACGGTCATGATCCCTCAGACAGAGCGCAAAGATACCCTCCCAGTCGTGGTAGCGATTCGTGCCCCGGGTGATTTGATTATTGGAGTGGTTCAAACCGAATCGCGTGACACTGAAGTCCACCTGTCTAGCGAGACATTCATATATCGCGACCAATACTCAGCTATCGGCGAGGCAAGAGTAGCAAACGTTCCGCAGATGTATGCTTGTATGGTTGTCAGGGACTTTGCGCTACGGCCTCAAGGAAAGCAGTGCTGATTCCGCATATATATGAAGTGCAAATAACCAAGATAGAATCGAGACTAGAGATTAAATCTCAGTGAAACCGAGGAAGAAGTGCAGGTGCCAGTCTTTTATAATTGAAGGCGCTGGGAGTCGTCAACTGAATTTCAGGTTAGGTGGTAGTCTAGGTTGGGATTAAAGCGGTCAGGTAAAGACTATGGTGGGACTGCTCTATGTCTCGGTCGTAGAGAGCTGCGCATTGAGTGGTATTGAGTGGTATAGGCTTGGAGTAGCGTCTTGAGTATGGGAGACGGAAAGAGGAGAGAGGGTGAGGAGGGGAGGGGAGGAGGAACGTCAAATCAGGTGGGAGGGGGGAGGAGGTCTCTAGTAAGTTAGGTAGGGCAGTCAATGGACGAAGGTGGAAGTAAGCGACTGTAATTATAAATCAGCGAGTAAGATGTCAAGAGAGTCGCATTAGTATAAAACTCTTTGCCGCCGGATGATGGGGACAGAAAAGAAAGTTAATCCATGCAGGAGCCAATGACACAGTTATTGTCGACAGCTGTCGAGTAAGCCGCCGTAGGTTGGAGTTAAAGAAACAGAAGGGCTACTGAGCAAGGTAGGTAATAAATGTATGAGGAAACCCTGGGGAAGGACTGGCAACGGGAGGAGGGGAATTAACCAAGAGGGGGAGAGGATGAATTGGCAGGAGGGAACTTAGGTCAGTGGTGAGGGGGGAAGGGTCACAAAGGGGGTTGAGTAAGATCAAAGGACTTGCACATTCATTAATGACTTGAAGTTCACTGACAATGTTTGATGTAGTTGTAGCAAAGAAGCCTTCAGTTATCCTTACAGCAGTACTACTCTGTACTAGGTATGCCATAGTATGTACTGTATAAGTACATGTACAATACTGAGTACGTATGAGTACTATCTTCCGAAGCGAAAGACTGCGGCTGCCAGCTGGCTAATGGGGAGAGCTCGGACAGGGCTGGCGCGCGATCGGCCATGGGCGGCGCGAAGGAGCTGCGGTGACAACCACTAACTTATTTCTCTGTGTATAGTACCGATTCGGGAGTGGGCAAGTTGACTGTAGTTAACTACTACTAAGTTAGTCCTTTATCAGGATGTACTACTCGCGTACTGCACCTAGGTAGGTTACGTACAAGTAATAACTCGGCTTTTCTGTTCAAGCACGGTCAAGATTCATTGGTCTTTTACAAGTCCCCAGTGCAGTAAGGAAGAGTCTAGTCACTTCCTAACTGGCTTCTGAACCTAACGCCTCCCGCGCGAGGGAAGCGCGGTAAGAGATTGCGTACCCGCTCCGTACCTAGGTAGAGGCCGACCGACCGCCTGTGCGCTCCAGTAGGCAGGTAGTTTTGGCCGCTATGGTAGTAGCATCCGCTGCTGGTGGCTCCTTCGCTCACAATGTTGGCCACCTTTTCTCCCCCCGCCATTGGTGCAGGCAGACTATGAACGCGGTTGATGCGTGGGTGGTGGTGCTGCTGCTGGCTGGTTCTGGTCCTGGTTCTATTTACAAACCAATCTACACCGGTAATAAACACTTGAGCAGTCACTCACACCTTCGCTTGCCGAGGAGATGATAAAGGTGAGCACAGTCTCTGTGTTATGAGGAAGTCATATAAATGCATTAGTTGACTTAATCTATTGTATTCAATCTGGCATCTACCCTGAAACCAATCCACTATGCTCTTGAGCTTCTCTACATTAAGTCACTTCACCTGAAAAGGACACATGGTAAAGCTTATTCATTGCAATGTTATTGTTCAGTATATCCTTCAAATATGTCAAAGGACAATTGTTTATAAGACATAGAAGACTTCAAAGGCCGTGTGAAGTACCGCGGGTGATAGGGACTGTTGAAAAATTCTGCTAGGTTTGGAGTTACGCTATCATACGCAGGCTGAATTCTTGACTTCAGATGATGAAGGCGTTTTAAGCGTCGTAGTTTGAGGTAGAGCCGCCAAGCCCACCTGGCAGCGTGCCGCAGGGGCATGGCAGCACGAAGATTGCTCCGGCGGCAGTATTCCTGAAAGCGGTGAAGTAGTGTGTGGTTAGCTACTTAGCTAATCCAAGAAGTGAGCCGCCAACACCACGAGGAACGCGCTGTTTCTCACCGCCAGACATCTGCTGATTTTAGTCTACCCTCAGACATCATATCCTTATCCCAAAGCCAGAACCCTCAGTTTAAGCTACTACTGCCTCGCGGTTCATTTACCCCACTTTTCCAGCCCCCCCGTGAATGGTGCATCTTCAAACTGTAGATTGCTCCAAGCTCTCCTTACCTCC